TAGTTGAAACCATGTCATTCAGTGGAAATGGCACTGTTTGCCTGGGAACACGGTGAGAACATGATAAAAATAAAACCAAACCCGTTGCCATCAAGTCGATTCCGATAGCTGTGTTAAAATATGGCAAAGCATTGTGGTTTATTGAATGGCAAATGAGTCAGTTGGCTGAAGCTGCAAGAGGGATCTGAAAAATGCTAGTGGAGTCTGGCTGTTGCCATTTACTAACTCTAACAAGCTACTTAAATACCAGGCGCCTCATTTCCTCATTAGTATATAAATAAGATTTGTAGACTTACAGTAGTTGGAGAAGTCATAGGAGTGACTTAGTCTAACCAGACTAATCAGAATTGTCAAATGAGCTGATGCATAGAAAACTATAACACAGTTCATAAATGTAAGCATTCACATTTGAAGATGTGAATTGGCTACCATAAATAATATTTAAGACAAGGAATTACATGTGTACGTGTCTGTTACATGTGAGGTGGACTAGCTGTCCTTTGGGCTCAGGTTTCTGTGATTCTAAAGAGTAGCACTCTGTCCCAGATGTTTCATTATATGATTTTTATAAACGTCCATCAAATTTTCACTGAGCTGCTGCTGTATATTCAGCACCATACGTGTTTCCAGAGGTAAGAATGTTAACATCCTTCCCTTCAGGTCCAATAGGTTCTACCAGACTATCACACACGAAACAATAGAGGACAACCCAGAATAGTTTTCACTAAGTACTAAAAGGGAGTTAAAACCAAAACAAGCAAACCCATTGCCATCGAGTTGATTCCAACTCATAGTGACCCTATAGGGCAGAATAGAACTGCCCCATAGGGTTTCCAAGGAGCAGCTGGTGGACTCGAACTGCCGACCTTTTGGTTAGCAGCCGAGCTTTTAACCACACTGTGCCACCAGGGTTCCTAAAGGGAGTTAGAAGACCAGAAATCTGTTGAGATACCCAAATTGTGTGATTTGGGTCAGGTCCTGAAGTATGAGTTCGTTAAGCAAAGTGGAGGGCAAGGTTTCCTAGGTGGGAACAACACTCACGTATGAGTAGGAATTGTGTTTAATGAGTTTGTGAAATAAGATACAAGTTTGACCAGAACAGAGTGTGCGCATTAGGCAATAATGTTGAATAGAGAATTAATATCAAACAAGCCACAAACTTTTACATCAATATAGAAATTCTTTGATTTAGGCAACCAGAATAAATACCCTGGGGATGCCAACACCTGTTCCTCTGCTGAGCTGGCCAACAAGCAGTCTGGACAACTTGACAGTTTTTTTACCATCAAGACAGGACTACATTTACTCCTGCTAACTATTAATAACCTCACTGGAGAGCTAATTAGTTAAGTATAAAGGAAAGAGCAAAGGCTGTGAAGTGAGAACAGACCTGTGTTCCAATTCTAGCCCAGTGACTGCATGACCTTGGGCATATTTGTACTTGACTGAGACTCACTTTTATCATATATTAGGATAAGTAAACCAACCTTGGGGCAGTTCTCTGTCCTGTAGGGTCGCTATGAGTCGGAATCAACTCGACAGTAATGGGTTTATTTTTTTCATACTAACCTTGCTTGGTTGTTTTACAATTTAAATGACATAACTGGTCTGAAAAGTGCCTAGAACATAGTGGGCGTTCAACGAAAGTTCCTTTTCCCTGTTTCAAGGGAGCTCTAAGACTGGTAGGCTAAAGGACAAGTTATAGGGTTGAATCCTGCCAGGCTCAGCAGGTTAAATAAGGAATGCCCTTTCAGAAGTATACTAATGTAATCCATATGTGCAATTTTTTTGTTCAGCGTATCTGAGTGATTTCTAAAGTACCTGGCTTATACATGGCACTGTTCATTGTACTCAGTTCTGTAAGAAGGTAGGAACTGAAAAAAAAAAAAAAATTACTTTCAGGATGATAAATGCTATGTACTCTGATGTTTAGAGGTCCAAACTATATATAACTACTGTGTTTTCTTTTACGTTAATTTCTTTGAAATCAAAGTAAAACTAAAATGCTTTAAACTTTTTTTTCCAGCATGCTACAAATGAAAACTGATGAGAAACTGAATTTGTCTGATGGGAATACAGCAAGTTGCCCTTTGAGCCCCATTAAGATGTGCCTTAATCATCCCATTGAATGGAATCTGAATTTGACAGCATCATCTCTAGCAAGCTGTACAGTTCATAACCAAAATCTCACAAATGAAGAGAAATAGATTGCAGTTCTTCTTGCACTATCTTTGTTTTGTATGTCAGTATTCTTTCTGCTGAACAATAAGCAATTATCAGTTGATCTTGAAATATTTCTAGTCCTGTGACTTGTCTTTATTAAATCATTAGCATTGATCATTTTGATTATATTTTTTTGTATGTTTTTTAATGTTTTGCACCAGACCATTGTGGAATTTTGCAGTACAAATGGATTTTGATGTTTCTCTTTTTAATGGTATTTTTGTGAGTTTTGTATGCCCTAAGTTTAAATACATAATTGTCCCTTTTTATTTCTGTGCACAAAGCTTAATATATAATGCATATGTGATTTAGAATGCTAGTATTGTAAAGACTTGTGATGATGGCCTGATGTATGATCAGTTGTGTAGCAGGTGGATACCAACTACCTCGAAGCAAATTGGTAAAAGAAAAGGCAAAGGTGTCTCTTGGAAGTATATCATCTCTTTCAAAGTTATATATGTATAGAAAAATTGATCACAGTTTATCATTCAATAGCATGTTGTTTCCATTGGAGCAGATCAGTTTTCTACTTTTAAACTTATGAAGTCTGTGGGCTGGAAAAGCCATGGCACAATGGCATGTTTACTTCAGCAAACCTGTGCCTCTACATCTTGCAGACAAGAATAACTGTTTGGTTTTTTGTAAGTTACCAGTTTTGAATGAAAAACAGTAAATGGATTTACATCTGTTGGTTTTATTTTATTGCATTTTAGACATTTATTTTCCAATTTAAAGGAATGTCTTTTAAAAGCAGGATATTATTTCTTACCTTTAATCCTAATAGTGCAAAGCATAGCTTCAGCAATGGCTACGTGATTGTGTCTAAGACTTCTGTAGTAAGAATGCTAAAGGTTTGGTGCTTAGATTTATTTTTCCCATACAGAGAAAACAAGCTTTGGTATGGTGGTACATAGTAAGTGTATCAGAATGTGGCTTGTTTCCTGACCTGGCCGTGGCATAAATGGGATTGAGTTAACTTGTGTTTCTAAAGACTTTTCCTCATAGCACATTTTGTATACTTTTTAAGTCCTTATTCCTCCCTACCCCCTAAAAAATATTTTTAAAATGACAGGGATTAAACAAAAGAAGACCAATATAAGGAATTTAAAGCACAGGAAAAGACACAGAGCCAACAGAATGAAGAACAAGCATCAGTTTGTCATCATTTTATATCATCGCCATGTATGCTTAATGAAAACATGCTTGTTGAATTTTCAGACTCCTTTTATAGTTCTGAGTTCTACAGAGCACATATCTGGTTGTAATGTAGCAATTTGGTTCTAAAACCCAGCGATCTTTCTTACTTTATGCTCCAGCTTAGATCGTCTTAAACAAATGGCGTCTGGTAAATAAATTTTAAAAAGCACAATTATTGTTAAAATAGACCTAATATTAGGACATTTCTATCCTGAATAATAAAGAGAAAAGGTAATTATCAAGTGGATAAGAACAAGTGTGTTGTTGGGCTCTTAACTTGGGTGTTGGCAGAAGGAAAGAGGCCTAATTTCATATAGTGTAAGTTTCATAAACCAGACAAGTGCCTATTTCAGAAGATGACAAAATTGACATTGAAGAAATAGTACTCATAAATTAGTATATAAAGAGGACTTCCAGCCACATTCCTTTCCCATTAGTATTTTTTATTTATAAACAATAAATATAATTTTATTATGCCAAAAACCAACAAAAAAAACTTCATGACTAAATATGTACATGTTACAGCACCCCAACCCAGGAAACACCATCACAAACAGTGAACTAAGTGCACTAGAGCTCCCATATGCAAATACTTCTTTAGGAAGAGAAATCACCCATGCAGGTAGATTATCAAAAATATTTTCAGTGTAGGATTCATGAAACCAGATTGTCAAAATGTTAACTGTTGAAATTGGGTGATGGGTACTTGGGTCCATTACACTAGTTCTACTTTTTTTTAATGTTCAAATTTTCCTTATAAAATGTTTCCTAAAAACCTAGAAAGGCACCAAAGAATCATCTGATCTAACCCCTTCACCTTAGACATGATGAAAATAAGGCTCAAAGGAATATTTTATAAGGTCACATGGCACATGGAAGAATTGAAAGTAGCATCTTGGTTTCCCATTTCTTAGCCCAGTGTTCTTTCAGCTGTGTACCTCATTAACAAGCTGGGGGCCAAACTCACACAGGTAGCCAGGACAGCAGGGCCAGAACCCAGGTCTGTTTATTTTACAGTATTACAGGCCAACCCATTGCCCTATGGAGACCCAGAAAGTTGAGGCCAAGCAGAGTCCTGGATTAAAATGCATCCAGAATTTCATAGGGAAGCTTCTTACTTCTTCATCCCATTAAGAGCTTTTTCCATTCCACTGGAATTACTTCATTAAATTCTCTTCCCTGAAAATAAGCTCCTTCCCGGCCAGTTTGTGAGATGTCATTTTTAAATGTGTGTTGTCGCATTTTTGTCTATGTTGGATCTGGCTCATCTAAGTCATAAGCTTCTCAAATGCAAGCTACTAGTTACATTTTATTTAAAAGTTTTCCATAATGCCAAGCTTTTAAACTTGAGAATTCATTAGACTCACCTAGGAAGCTTGTTTAAAAATGAGATTTCTGGGCCCACCTCAAATCCCAATTAAAGAAATTTCACTGACGGCTGACGCAACACTGAGAAACACTGTCCTAATGCTTACACATCGAGTCACGCAGCAGAAAGTCTTATAAAGAAGTCAGGCATTTTTGTTCTGATTTTGACACAAGGGTAACTTTATTAAAAGCAAACAACTGAACATAATTTTAAAGGACATTTTTTTAAAGAACTCCACCTCCATCATCTCTCTTAACTACTATCTTCACTGAGAAACTGTGTAAGATTAAGCTTACTTCTTTCTAGTGCTGCTGTTTTGGCTCGTCGTGGTAATCTCATCTTCATTTCTGATTCTGGTTCTGGAACTTCATGATCACTAAACAGATGTTAAAAATACACCAATTTAAATACAAGCTTTCAAACTACAGTTTATAAATCTTTTGTTAGTTTCTGACTGATATTCAATCAATGTATAATTGATAACCTGATTCCATTGACTAAGCTTGAAACTAAACTCTCAGCAAAAAAACTACTGACTGGTATCCAGCAACATGAATCCTGGAAAACCTAACCAGTTTTTTTTTTTTTTAATCTATATGTAACTTGGTATTATACAGAAAAAATAAAACCAAACTTTTGCAATGAAACTTGTAAACGGGCCGTTAACAACTGTCCAAGAGTATTTTTGAAACTCAAGAAGTGAAAAAAAAAAAAATCTCAATTCTCTTGATTTAGGCAATAAATTCCTAAAACACTGTGGACAAGTTTCCCAAAAAGATACTTTAAACTTAGTAAAGACTTAAGCTATACTGAAAATACACATATTACAATTTTACCAATGAAGAGATAAAGGCAAGACAGCTACAAACTTTCAGCTTCCAACTTTGGTTTATTGGCAGGAACCAAAAATTAACACTCTACCACACAAATCACTAATACATCCAAATTATAGGCAGAATTATTCTATCGCTGTAAATGTAGAGAACCCAAATGTTATCTAAATCTCAAGAGTTTGCTAATTGCAGATCAAATTTAGAGGAGTCATACAAACAGGGTCATGTGATTAGCAGAGTACATGGAAACTAACGAGAGAACTTATTATTAAAGATGACTACCAAGTACTAAAAGCCATGTCAACTATAGGCAAAAGTATACAAGCCATAGGAAGTGAAATGCTTTTGATTATGGAATTTTAGACTATATATCCAAGACAGCTATTTATAATTTTCACTGTCTTGATATATATTGAGTTTCTCTCATTCACGGTAGAGGCAAACTACAGTATTTTCTCTACTCCTAGACATTAAAAAAAAAAAGAAGATAGACCTCCTTATATTACAAACATGCACGGCATACCTTTCAGAGTCAGCCTCAGCAGTATGATGTCTCCGGTTCACCCTAGCCGAAGCTGTGACTTTTCTCCGTCCTTGAGAATAGAATAATTTATTAGACTTTATTATCAATTGCTTACGGTTTTTTATCTGGTTTCTGGGCTATCCGAATCCCTTATTTTCCCTCTTTAACACATTCCTCCTTGTTCTCAATCACCTTAATACCAGTTATCAACCCCACAAAGAAAAGGAACGCAAGAAAGATTAAAATTTACATTAATTTCTCTTGCAAGAGCTGATAAGTCTAGGCAAGGGAAAATATGGCAATTATGAACAAGTTGTAAGGAGGCAAATTTTAGCTCAATGTATGTGGGGACAGAAGCATGTAAAAAACATGCTATAGAAACAAAGCAGCTCTATATGGCAAATAGTACAAGACGTATGGAGAAACGAATGAAAATTAAGATTGCAGAACTACATTAGGCCCATAAACCAGTCCAGAAGTAGAATTTTAACCAGTAAGGTAACAGCTGCTTATAAAATATTCAATCATATACACAGCCAGTTCAAATGAGTTGTAATATGTATTTCAGTGAAAAAACTAGAACCTCAAACTGTAGACTGGAAGTTGCAAAACTTCTACTTACTAGAAACAAAGCTAAGAAGTAGGACTTAAGTATGCCTTGTGATGTTCCTCATTCATGATAACCAGTGAAGTATAGCATGCATAAATGAAGTTTGGGCCATTTATTTTTTATAAGGGGTGGAGTTCTTATGGTATATTGTCTGACTAAAAGCAATCTGATCAAAACCAAGTTGTTCAGTATAATTTGGGTAAAATAATAATTTTCCCCACTCATGCTGAGACTTCATTTTTTTCCATAGCTTATTTCCTTTTAAATTTCTAATTCATTTATCTCCAAGAAAACATCCAACAATACGGGACTAATTTGGAACAATATCTAGCAATTGATGCTTAAATAATGGATTGGTTATAAAGCAGTATTATGGCCAGATTCCATGTTAAGAAAATAAAATTTAACCTGTATAAAAAAAGGGACTCAAAAAATATTTTTCAAGAGTTAAAATAGTGGCTGGCTCATGAGTGGGATTATTAGTGTTCTTTATAGTACTTTGCTTGGATGTATTTTCTGATTCTGTACTAAGCATGCATTGCTTTTGTAATAAGAAAGTAATAAAACAATAAAAAGATCTTGAATTTCAGGTTTTTTTCCAAGTGATCCCCTGATATTCAACATTTACTTTATTCCAACAAATCTCCTATTGTTGGATATTCCTTGAGAAGTAAATAAGTTGGGGAAATATGAGAAGAAGGAATATCATCGCCCCAAAAAATACTGGGTGGGAAAAAGGGACTTAAATGCTTAGACTACTGATGAGATAAAATCATCATTTGATCAAATCAACAGTCTACCAAATGATCTTTTGCATCATATTTCTTTCAATCAAAACCACTTGGGAGCAACACTGATTTTAGAATCTTTTAGAAACAAAGTTTACAGATACCAATTGAAAGAATTAAAAGGAAAGTTAAGGATACCTAAGACATTTAAAAATCTTTATCCCGAAGGAAACAAAGAAACTTGCAAAGTAAATATTTCATTGGAAGACAAATTTGAAAGCAGTTTTATTATAAAGCTAAAAGCCATACATGAATCAACCCATATACTACCTCGGTTAGTCTTTTGCTGGGTGGATTTTGATGCTCGGGTGGCTTTTATAGCCCTGAGAGGAGTCATATATACTTCCTTATTCTCTTCTATTAAAAGAAATAATACAACAATGTAAAGAAAAGATAGTCTCATGAAATATTTTCAATGGTCTTTTCAAGTTGATCATTCATAAAAAGAAATGACAATTCCATTAGCAGCTACTGAGAAGTTATCCTAAGTCACTGTTGAGAAGAATGTGGATACTGGAAAATAAGCAAAACACTCCTAAAAGGATAGTATTCATGGTCATAAGGTTAGAAATCTACACACAAAAAAAAACTAGAAAAGTAGAATACTTATCAGCAATACTCTTTCCCAAGGAGAGTATTTAGAAGAAACTTTCATTCATTTCTGAAATTCAGTCACACACATTAACGAAAAAATGTCTCAGTGAAGATGAAAGAGAATCTTGTAACTATTCAAGTCATTACCATCTTCATTTTGAATAATAGTTGTTGTTGTCTTGGCATCTTGGGCTGCTACAGTTTGATCACCATGTTCTTTATTTCCTTTTTCTAACTGAATCTTCATTTTCTCCAAAGCTCTCAGACACAGCCTATCTTTTACTTGCTATAATAGAAAATATTAACATTTTAAATGTGACATTTTCTAATCTTCCTTCAACAAAGATATGTAGGCTGATAACAAGTTGTTTGAAAACATCCTAAAATTTATATGAAATATATGAAGAAAATGCTTACTTCAAAAGAGCAAAGTTATGTTTATTATTTGATAAACATATACACAATAATCAATAATTTGAAATTACTTTACCTCCAGAATCTCATTTAGTAGAACCAGAAGATCTTTTGCAAGATAGCTACTGAGTTCTAAAGAACTCAAGGCTTTTGTATAGACCCGGATTTCTGGTGAACATGGACTTGCTAAGATCTCACTGCAAATTTTCATAGCCAAATTGTCATGTACTGTTAAAGCCTAGAAAACCAAAAGAAAAATCTTTATAAATAGAAAATGGTATGATTAAATACAGTCCTATATATCTAACAAACATTTCCAACTAATTAGTTTGCCACAATCCCAAATGCAAAATGTCAAAAACTAAATTTAATATCTTCCCTAAGTAAGCTCCCCTTCTTGATTTTTTGTAGTGGATGCTGTGGTACAGGGCCAAGAGCTGCCCCTTTTAGGATGGAAGCATGCATTCCCTCCTCTGCTGTGAGTGTTGGAGATTAAAAGTTCCCAGCTGCAGAACTGATCCAGGCTGATGAGTGAGCCCTGCCCAAGGCTACACCTCTTCCCCCAGGGTTGGTCCACATCCAGTGACTGGTTGATGCAGAGGTACCCAGGCGCTGCCTACTTGCCTCAGTTCTGGACAATTCAAAGGGCCATCCCAGTTCTGGAACCCCCTACGAGATCAACTGGAGCCTCTGACTACATGGCAGTCCAACTTCTCCTCTGTCCCAACCTACGTCCCTCATTCCTCCACAGATTTGATTATGAGTACTCCCCAGTAAAGTACTCTGCCAACAGTTTCTTTGGGGATCTTCTGTCACCCATACTTACGATCTTAGAGTTGTCTTGGACTCCTCCATTTCCTCTACCTCTTAAAGCTCTTCACTCTAGGCTTTTATACCCCATTTTTTTCCCCTGTTTCTACTACTCCAGTTCAAGGTATTATCTCTGAACTACACAAATCTTTACCTGCTCTCTTGATTAACGTTTTCTCTCCCATTCTCTCACCAAGTGAACTGACAAAACCATCATTATTAGTCTTCCTAACAAATAACATTCATCTCATTAACCCTTTCATCATAAGCCTTGCATAGTTATTCACTGCAAATAGGGCCAACTCCTAATTCCTTGGCCTCTGAAGCACTCTACAGTCTATCCCAACTTTCTGCCCTGAAAGTCCCAAATTCCAGATCTTTAGCCAGAATGATTTTTTCACAGTTCCTCAACATGATTTGTATGGCCCCATTTATGTTCATCACTTTCACTAAAAATGCTTTCCTCTCTATCCAAACCACTCCTCAAATCCCACAGTAAAACCTAACTAAATTTTACCCACTAAGTTTTAAAACTACCAATGCTGTACTCACCAAGCCTACCACATGAATCCTGCTCTTCTCTAAACTCCTAAAGCATTTAATAGCTTTATCACTGACCTTTGCCATAATTTGCCTTAATATTCTTTGTAATCTTATCTTTCTAATAGTATATAACATAGCGACTTGAACAGGGTATGTAGTCACTAACAAAAAACCAATTGCTGTCAAGTCGATTCCGACTCATGGTGACTCCATGTGTTGAAGAGTAGAACTGTACTCCATAGAGTTTTCCAGGTTGTGACCGTTTGGAAGAAGAATGCCAGGCCTTCCTTCCAAGGCTTCTCTGGGTGTGTTCAAACTGCCAACCTTTTTGTTAGTCAAGCACTTGCCTATCTGCACCTACCAGGGACTCTTCATGTAGTCACTAAATAGCAATTAAAGTTATAGAAGAATAATAGCTTCAACGTAATCAGTTGGCACCTGAATCATTAAGAACACATTAATTTTCAAAGGTGGTGACACATCTGATCAAATGACATTAAAAAATTTCAAAACCCGGCTAAAGTTTAATCTGTGGGTCAGTCTGCAGTTGACTTATCTTCTTTAAATCAAAAACCAAAAACAGCTTGAGGGCAGTTTCTTTCTTTGAATTTTCTTTCCTTTATCAGGCATATAGCATGTAAGCCAACATTTGAAGACTCAGTGGGTCCTAGATAGCAGTAGGACATTACTGCGGAGTGAGTAATAGCCAGTATTGGGTGAACAGTGGTGCAGTGAGAGGAATGAACTTTTGTTAACTTCAGAAGCAGAGATGGTAGCACTGATTAATTCTGTTTTCATATTTTCTTACTTTGTGTCGTACACCACCATATAGACCAGAAGTCTCAAGATCAAAAAATGCAGCTCCTTGGTATTTCAAAGAATCTATAAGAGGGATTATTTTATCGAAAAAACAGTAATCTGCATACTTCATCCTTAACATCCGCAGACTCACATACTCACCCACCTGATAATCTTCGGAGTTCTTGGTCTGAGGATTTAATCCACTCGGTCTTGTTAAGTCTACAAGCAACTCAGTGACGTTAATGATATCTATTTCAGCTAAAGGAGAAGATGCAGGGGCATTGGCCAATGTTTGCAGAGTTGGAAGAAAAGCTTCTTCAAAGCATTCCTGATTGGTCCTATGGAAAAACAATTTGAAAGTATGTTGGTAGAATATTATATTAGGTGAGAAGAAGATTATGATTCTTAAGAATATTATACATAAAATTCAATTCATCAAGATAAAGCACATTTCCATATAGGAGAAAGCCAAATAATTCAGGTAGACAAAAAGTAAGTGAGTTCTCATTTCATCATTTATCCAGTGAAGAAAAAGAACATCATCAACAAAATGACATTATAGACATCACTCATGGCAGGGAGGGAGCCCTGAATTTTATTTAAGTCAGATTTTAATTTATCATTATGATTCAATACCTGCTTGCATAAGCAAACATGGGGAAGAAGACTCCTAGGCAATGTCGAAGTCGAACATCCTCTTCAGTCACAGGATTGTACCATAACAAAATAAGACGAGAAAGAATCCTACTGCTGACCAAAAGCCCAGAGAACATCAGCTTGGCTAGCCCTTCTGCAGCTCCCGTTCTGAGTTCAGACACCTGATAAAAACAGCTTTTATTAGAAGAAAAAGTTTTAACATACACCTACTCTTCACTTATTGACTATGTCGTTATCTGACATTTCACATTTACAACAATAGTAAACAATTATCCAACTACTTTGCGTATTAACAATGTATGTCTGGCAGCAACGAACGTCAAGGTGTGAGGCAAGAGTAATGATGGCTGTGATGGTTAATGTTATGTGTCAACTTGGCTGGGCCATGATTCTCAGTGGTTTGGCAGTTGTGTAATGATGCAATCTGGCAGTTATGTAATGATGTAGGAAACGCTGGTGGCATAGTGGTTAAGTGCTAACCAAAAGGTCAGCAGTTCAAATTCACCAGGAGCTCCTAGGAAACTATATGGAGCAGTTCTATTCTATCATACAGGGTCACTATAAGTCGGAATCAACTCAATGGCAACAGGTTTACAGGTAATGATGTAACTTGGCAGTTGTGTAATGATGTAATTTGGCAGTTGTGTAATGATGTAGTCATTCTCCATTTGGTGATCTAATGTGGTCATCCTCCATTTTCGCATAATGGCAATTTTTCTATAACAACCTGGTCTTTGGAACCTAATCATGTTGCTGAGGAGTGAATTTATTTCCTCTTTAAGCCTTATAAGGCAGCCTTCCCTGTTTTTATGTGAACTATCCAAAAATCACTAGTTATTATGAATTTCTTAAATAAGATTTTATTTCCCCCTTTGAAGTTAAAACTGAGTGACAAATCTTTAGACTAGTCATACTTCCTTCAATGCCTTTAAAATTCTTTAAAAAAATCAAAAGACCTTTTTAAACAACAAAATTTTGCTAAGTCAAAAAACAAAATTATATGCATTTAAATGCTTAGCATAGTGCTAGCTGTTCTAAAACATAGGAAACCCTTAGCAATTGTCTCTGCCATCAGAGAAGACACCTATTATAAACAAAAGCTTCAGAAATGGAAGTGGCAGTGTGTCTGAATTATCGTTAGAATGTAAATAGAAGGTGTGCAAGTGAAAAAGGCATTCCAAGAAACAGAAACCAAAACAAACATAAGGAAGAGAGAAAATGGTGATGTAAGAATGAAGGTACAGGTATACACAGTGGTGGTTAAGAATACCGACTACTGGGTCCGAACTAAATTCAAGCCTCTGACACATCCTAGCTGTGTGATCCTGCGCATGTTACTTAACTTCCCTGTGCCTCACTTTTTCCATATACAAAAAGGAGACGATGAAAGTACCTATCATATAAGACAGTTACAAGGGTGAAGAAATAATAGATGTAAAGTTTTTAGGATAGTGCCTACCACACAGTAAATCCTCAAAAAATGTCAACAATTATTTACTACATTTAATGAACAGTAAGTTTACTTGGTAGTCAGATTATAGAGACCCTGAAAATTAGGTAGAGAAATTAAAGCTTAGTGAGGTAGGATATGGAGTCACTGAAGATTTTTGAAAAAGTTAGGGAGACACGATTAAGTGAGACTTAAGGAAAATTATCTTTACATGTTACAATCTAGGAATAAAAGACAAGTCTTAACGAAGGAGACAGAAGTTAAAACAGTGGAATGAACAAATTGAAGAGATATTTCAAAAACATTTTTAAAACACAAAAATGGAAAAGATATAGAGGTCAATGATATTAATGAGTGGCAGGCACTGCCATGTGCTTTCTACACTCTAACTTATTTAATGCTCACAACGACTGTGGGGGCAGAGACTGTTTCATTCAGCACTGGACTCTCCAAGAATGTACTAACTGGCAGATAATTGCCACTCAAATGTTTGTTGATTAAGTTAAAGAACAATCCCAGACAGTAGGTACTATTATTCCCATTTTACAGATGCGGAAACAGGACAGACAGTAAATATCTTAACCAAGATTCACACAGATGTAACCAGAACACAAATCTACAAACTCCAAAGCCTGCATACCCCACTTTTGAAATTAAATTTCTAACTATCACAAACTTCGCTCACAGCAATAGTAACCCACTTGAAAGTGAATGGCAAAAATTTGAATTGAGCCAGACAAACCCAAAACCAAACCCATTGCCGTTGAGTCGATTCCGACTCACAGCGACCCTATAGGACGGTAGAACTCCTCCAAAGGGTTTCCAAGGAGTGGCTGATGGATTCTAACTGCCGACCTTTTGTTTGGCAGCCGAACTCTTAACCACTGCGCCACCAAGGCTCCTGAGCCACAACAGCAAGCCTTTAAAGCATGACAAGAAGTTGTTAGTTACGGTCCAAAGAATAATGTCAAGGAAGTCTAGATTTTTTAGTGGTGATGGCAAAAATAAAGTCAAAGTCAGGGAATCTATGTTAGCCAGAGAGAGATTTAATGTAGCGGTACTACTCCCCTCCCCCACCAATAAAATCACTCACTCGCTGTCAAACAATTTTAATGCTCAGTAATTTTCCACTTGCTATATCAGCAAGCCCATGGCAATGGACTCTTTCCAATAGGAAGTTAGTATGGCACATGGCTAAAACAAACAAACAAAAAACTGAAAAACTAAACTAAAAAATTAGTGAAGTGTTTATATATGCTATAAAAATGTATTCTATCCTTTACTCAATCTGTTCTAGCCACATGTCCTACTCTTCCTTAAAGAGTACCTTCAGGAAGGAGATCCAGTTCCACACTCTATCCTAGACCTTCCACCCACCCATGGTAAAATTATTCTAAATTCTTTCTTAAGACTCTTAGGGAAAAAAATTAAGCCCTTAAATCACAAAGACAAAGAAAAAAAATCATCAGTTTTGTTCACATTGTAATCCTCTGCACATGTACTTTGATAGTAAAAAACTAGGTATGCTAAAAGTGAGATTTAACTAAGATATTCAAAAAGAAAATTAAATAACTTTTGGTCAAGTTTAAACTTCGGTACTAAAAAATAAAATGTAAATATAAAGAGCAGAAACAAACACATGCTGAAAATGAGAGTTCACAGTCACAAAGTAGCCATTATTTTACCTCATTATCTAAGAAATCAGCAAGGAGTTTCAGAACATTCTTAGCCGTAGCAGTCTCTTCTTCCTCTCCTCTCAACTCTTGCCCGTCACCACTGTTTATTTCTGAGCCTTCACTTTGAGGGGCCGTGATTTTTTTAGTTTTAAATGGTTCAATCCCAAATGTCATCAGTTGGTCAAAGATCGCTTTTAAAGCACTGATTTTTATTGTGACATCATCAATTCGCAAAACCTAAATAGAAACATATCCCACCAAAAAAGTAAACTCAGTAAATTTTTAAGTGTTTATCCTGCATAAAATTAACATATATCTTATTTTTCTCTAATTTCAATGACAATGTTAAGTCTATAAGAAAAGTTCTTTTCAGAACTATAATTAAAATTTTAATTTAAAAGTTATATTTTTACTTACTAATATTGTAAAATTTAGAGCTATTTTTCCTTTAAGAAAAAGTTCATTTTCACAGTCAAAATTTCTGAAACCAGAGTAAAATTGAATGGTATTGTTGAATGGACAATGCCATCAACCATGATTTTATTTTATTTTCCCCATCTGCTCAATTTGCTCTATCAACAAGTCCTACTGATTCTGGAACATGCCAAGCAAAATCCTACTTCAAGGCCTCTTCCCTGTTTTCCCTCTACTTGCAAAACTCTTACCCCAGATATGCACATGGTTCACTCTCTCACTTCCTTCTGGTGTTGGGCCTAATGCCAACTTATTAGTGAACGGACCAAACAGCTTCCTCTCCCTACGCCCACTCCTTATTCCCCTTCTTTGCTTTATTTTTCTCTATTTGACATAGTATATACTTATTTTTACTTTGTGTTTCCCTTTTAGAATGTAAGATCCAATAGGATAAGAATTTTTGTCTTGGTTTTTTTCACTGCCACATGTTTTAAACCTAAAACATGCATAACATAACACATAACATGCATTTAATAAATATGCACTATACGATTAAAGAATATCTTTAAAAAAATGACATTTCATATTTTATCTACAAAGAAGTTTAATACAAAAGACACCAAAGATAAAAATCATTGCGTCTTAAAAATCATCAGTGGGCCCAATGTAAATTTAGAATATTAGTAGTCTTACCACAGATACAAAGTACTTATTTCAGCAAGTACAAATGAAATATTGTCACAAAATCAAACCTACCTGCAATAATAATACAAAGTGTTTACTTGCAAAATCCTTATTCTGTAGTCCACAGCATCCCAAGCATAAAACAGCCATATTTCTTACTACAGGGTGAACACTTATTATTCCAGGGAGAATCTAAAATGAATTGGGAATTAAAATAATTGTGATCAGGGCAAGAAATGAACAATATTAAAAAATAGTCAGAATGATAGTTTCCATGTGACTTCATAGATCTATTATTTCATTTCCACATTGTCTATTAACTTAAAGAAATCTTTTCAGTTTGAAAAAAAAAAGATAAATATTTAATTGTGAAAACAGAACAAGACAGCCAGAGTAATCTTCCTGAACTACAGTCTGATCTTGAGATGCCTCCCACCCTGCTAAAACTGATTAAATGGCTTCCCAGTGTTCACAAGACAAAGATCAAAGCCCTTACCGTGACACAGAACAAATCCCATACTGTGTAGTCTTTCCCAGCCTTATTTATACCATGTTACCTCTTGCTCTCTGCTTGCCCAGCTGGTCTGATTTTGATGCATACTTTTCACTGCTGTCCAGCAGAAATAACACAAGCCACAAATGACAGCCACATATGTTAATTCTTAATTTTCTAGTAGCCACATTAAAAACAAGTGAAATGAACTTTAATATTTTATTTAACTCAATATAACCAAAGTATTATCACTGCAACATGTAATCAGTATAAAAGGGTTATTAGTGAGATATTTTACATTCTTATTTTTCGTAATAAGTCTTCAAAACCCAGTATATTTTTACACTTACAGTACCTCTCAATTTGGACTAGCAATATTTCAAGTGCTCAATAGCCATAAGTGGCTGGTAGCTACCATACTGGAGAGAGCAGGTCTAGAACATTCTTTCCTCCCTTTTCACTTAGTTAATGTCTACTCAAATACCAGATTAGTCAGAGTCCTCTTTCATGAATAGGTCAAATACCCCTATTGTAAGTTTACATATGACCATATACCTCTTTTTCACAGCAGTAATTAAAGGCATACGTTTCCATTTATTTATTTGATTGACTCTCCTCACTTGACCAGAAGATCGAGGAGGGCAGACTCTGTATCTGTTTTGTATACCATGCATTTATCCCCAGCATTACAATTAATGACTTTTTATTTATTAAATAAATAAATAATAACAAATTGTTGTTACAGCACCTAACTACAATTTAAAACAAAATAACTCCATAAAAATATTGTAATTCCTTCATCCAAATACCTTGCCTATTTATTTTTCTCCATGGTCTTTTTCAAGCTTCACCCATAGATCGTTCTTACGTACTTAAAATCATGATGCCTATTCAGTTTTGTGTTTTTTCTTCACTCAACATTGTGTATCCTTTCCTACAGTCTTCATATTTACTACTTCAGGTGCTTAATTAATTATATGCTATAATTTACTTTGTTGTTGTTGTTGTTAGATGCCGTCGAGTAGGTTCTGACTCATAGCGACCCTAAGTACAACAGAACGAGACACTGCCTGGTCCTGTACCATCCTCACAATCCTTGTTACGCTTGAGCCCATTATAGCAGCCACTGTGTCAGTCCATCTCGTGGAAGGTCTTCCTCTTTTTCACTGACCCTCCACATTACCAAGCATGATGTCCTTCTCCAGGGACTGATCCCTCCTGATAACATGTCCAAAGTATGTGAGACGTAGTCTTGCCATCCTTACTTTAATTTGCATAATTTACTTTACCATTCTCTTATAATACGACTAGATATAAAGCACCCAAGTAGGACTCAAAAAGCTTCACTTTTCACTGAAGACATCTGCTTCACTAAAAATAAAACTAAATTCTAATGGTTATTTTGAGTAGAATCTAGTGTTTAAGCAGAAGCCCTGGACTGTTACAAACAACAACCGGTCTTTCTGCATTTAGAAACCCGTGACAACACAAGGAACGAGATTTCAGATCACATTCATTGGCTGTTTATTGCCAATCCTAAGTAGAAAGAATTTTAAGAAAATCCTGTAAGAGTTCACTGTTGTTGTTGTATGCTGCCAAGTCGGTTTCAACTCATAGCAATTCCATGTGACAGACTAGAACTGCCCCGTAGCATTTTCTAGGCTTTAATCTTTATGGAAGCAGATCGCCAAGTCTTTCTCCTGCAGAGACGCTGAGTGGGTTTGAACCACCAACTTTTCCGTTAGCAGCGAGCGCTTAAATGTTTGTGCCACCAGGGCTCCTTTGTAAGAGCTTGAGTACATTCAAATTTTCCTTGGATGAATAGCACCATTTAAAAAAAATACTCTAGACCTGAGTTGTCTAGTTATTGTAGCTACTAGCTACGTGTGTGGCTACTCAAAACTTAAAATGTGACTAGTCTAAATTAAGATGTGCTGTAAGACTCAGCATGAAAATCAGAATATAAAATATCTCAATAGTTTTTTTTAAAATTGAATACATGGCATAAAGATAGTATTTTAGATACACTGGGTTAAAATATATTTTAAAAATTAATTTCACCTGTTTATTTTTATTTTTAATGTGGCTACTGAAAAATTTAAAGTTACATGTGGATTGGATTAAACTTCTATTGGAAAGCGATGCTCTAGTATCTTGCAGACTTACGTTTCCATGGTCAGTGCAATGGGGATTATCTATGAAAGGCTACTTTAATAAAAAGCCCTTTAAATAATAAACAAAGTCCTTTCACAGGACTCACAAGATAACTTTCTCATAGTCTTTCAACCTATATAGCAAGATTACAGGACTTTAATATCTCTGATGTTTCTGTATTTCCTTTTACAATTCAAAGAATGAAGATATTCTGTATCTCCTTCCAGTATAAGACTATTTAAAACCTTTTAAAAGAATAATTAGAACTTAGTATTTATTGAATATTCACTTTGTGCCGGGTCCTTTATATGGATTACTCATTTAATCCTCACAATACAAAGTAGTCATTATATTCTTTGTTTTTTATTATTTGTATTTATCAGATGTTTAAAACAGTAACTTTTCCATCCTTTTAAACTCAAAGGAACATATTACTTATAAAATGAGGGAGTAGTGAGTTAAAATAATGTCTCAGAGGTACCAACTTACCAAAGATTCAATGATCCCATTCATGGTTGCACTTATACCTGTTGAAATGGACATCTGCTTCAGCAGTTCATAACACAAAATAAGACACTTCTGCAGTGTTTCAGAATCATTCTAAAATGAAAGACAATATTCGGCATTAGTAATAACATTTCCATTATTTCTGCAAGATATGGAACTTCCATCAGTCTATAGAAATAAAAATAAAATGATAAACTGAACGTATATAATAATGAATTCACAAATTATTTTAAAATTCCAATTAGTTGTAAACACACGTCGCTAAGTTTCACAATCTAGATGCTTCCTAGTTAATGGCCAGCTTTCCATAATTTAGAAAAAAATACTGGACAATGTAATCACTGTACAAATTTACCATCATAAATTAGAATAAAATAATAATATAATTTCTCATCTTGTAAATATATCTAGGATATTTATGACTAACGTAGTCTATCTCTGTTCCTTCCTACTATTCAGACATGCTTAAAAGAAATATGTTTTGCTTAAGAATTAGTAATATGATAAAGTCACAAATTCAAGAAATATTTATAGAGAGCTTATGTATGGGAACAGCAGCATAGTTGATCTGGGAAATTCCTAAAATGGTCAGGTACTACCTAACAAAACACTAACTTTAGATGAATTCAACTGCCCATCTTCCCTGAAACTATATTCAGGATGTAGAATCCACCAACAACTATTTCAAATTCCCAACTGTACCATCTCTTCTCTTCACTCTTAGCAGGTGACCTCATTTGCTATTTCACAGAAAATCCCAAAGCCATTAGGCTAGAAGTCTTTCAACTTCCTGCCACAAAACCTGCAAACATGAGCAACCACATCTACCCTCTCTGCTTTTAGATCTGGCATACTGGAATTATCCCACCTCCCACTCTCTAGTCTAAGTTATTCCTTCTACCTCTCCTTTGGATTCAGATCCCTTCATACTTCCTCTTCTTGGATAAACTACTTTCTCTATTGGATCTTTCCAAAAGCATTTAAACATTAGCTTCCATCTGCCACATTAAAAACCAAAACCAAACAAACCATTCAACCGCATTTCCCTCCCCTACTTCCAGCCATCATCACTTAAAAATCTAATGTTCTAAAGGAGTTGTCTAGATTCTCCACTTCCTTATTACTTCCAATCACTCCTTACTCCATCCACTAGAATATATAGCAGCTACTCACCTTTTTATTCTACCAAATTGCTTTCCGCAGGGTGACTCGTGACCTTTATTGTTAAGACCATGAGAAAGGTCATTCTTTATCTTACTTGTCTCCTTTCAGTATCTAACACTTGAGGCTACTCCCTTTTTTTCTTGAGTCTTTCTTTCCCTAGCTCTAACCCCATACTCTCCTGATTTTTCGTATCTTTCTGATTACACCATTCTTAGGTGTACTCTGTTTCTTCTGCCCATCTCTTAAATGCTTGTTTTCTCAAAGTTTTGTCTAAGACATATTCTCACTCTATACACATTCCTTGGGTGATACAACTTCATTTACCATCCATGACCTAGCCCAGCTATTTTCTAAGTTTCGAGTTCATATATACAAGTGGCTACAAGACATTTCCTCTTGAATGTTCCACAGACACTACAAATTCAACACTACAATTCCAAGAGAGAACCAACTCATTTTAACCCAAATCCTTCCCCCTCCTGTGCTGTCTCAGTAAATGTTACTGCCATGTACCAAACTATCCAAATCAAAAGACCTAGGGGGTACATTCTCAACTCCTTCGCCCTTACTGTTACTAATTCCTAAATCTCTCTCAAATTCATCTACTTCTTTCCATATCCATCACCATTATCTTATTCAGACAGCGATCACCTCAAAACCATATTACTATAACAGCCCCCAGCTGGTATCGCTGCCTAGACTTTTACCACCCTTTAATCCATTTCCCAAACACCAGAGATCTTCCTAAGACATAAATCTCATCCCAAAACTTAAAACTCTTTAATGGTTCTCATGACCTTTGGATAAGGCACAAATTCTTTAATAATTTTTACTGTTGTTGTTGTTAGTTGCCATCACGTCAGCTCTGACTCATGAATGACCTGGCCCTTAATTTTTCCCCAAATTTAATCTCTTACCCACTCCACTCTCCCCTCCCCACTTAATTCTCTAGTCATGTTGATCTGAAGTTTTTAATACAACATGCACCTTCAACTTCTGGGCCTTCTCATCAAATTCTGTCTGCTTGCAATACTAGTTCCTTAAAGCTAATAATTCACCAAGGAGAAACAGACAGCACAGTGTGTTAAAAGCACAAATCTAGAGCCACTGCTTGGGTTTGAATCCTGCCTCTACCATCTATTATCTATGTGTCTTTGGGAAAGTTACTTGCCTCTCTATAAAATGGAGTACAACCATAACCATCATCATAGGGTTATTGGGAGAATCAAACGAATTAACACTTGTGAAAAGCTTAAAGCAATTACTAGCACACAGAAAGCATCTTGTAACAAAGTAGTAGGGGTGGGGGTCTGGGGAACATGGTTTTCAGGGGACATCTAGGTCAATTGGCATAACAAAGTTTATTAAGAAAATGTTCTGTGTTCCACTTTGGTGAGTGGCATCTAGGGTCTTAAAAGCTAGTGAGCAGCCATCTAAGATGCATCAGTTAGTCCCAACCCACCTACAGCAAAGGAGAATGAAGAACACCAAAGACACAAGGAAAATATTAGCCCAAGAGACAAAAGGGCCACATAAACCAGAGACTTCATCAGCCTGAGACCAGAAGAACTACATGGTGCCTGGCTACCACCAATGACTGCCCTGACAGGGAACACAACAGAGAGTCCCTGATGGAGCAGGAGAAAAGTGGGGTGCAGAACTCAAATTCTAGTAAAAAGACCAGACTTAATGGTCTGACTGTGACTGGAGGAACCTCAGAAGACATGGACTCCAGACTCTCTGTTAACCCAGAACTAAAACCATTCCCGAAGCCAACTCTTCAGATAAAGATTAGACTATACTATAAGACATAAAATAATACTCATGAAGAGTGTGCTTCTCAGTTCAAGTAGATACACAAGACTAAATGGGCAGCTCCTGTCCAGAGGCAAGGTGAGAAGGCAAAAAGAGATAGGAGCTGGCTGAATGGACACGGGAAATCCAGGGTGGAAAGGAGGAGTGTGCTGTCACATTATAGGGACAGCAACTAGGGTCACATAACAATGTGTGTATAAATTTTTGTATGACAAACTAACTTGAGCTGTAAACTTTCATTTAAAGCACAAATTAAAAAAAAAAAAAAACAGAAAGCATCCTGTAACTGCTTATATTATGATTCATATTCAACTCTCATATTAAAACATCGCTTCCTCTGGGGAAATCGCCAATAAAACCTCTCTAGTGACAACAGTATTTATTATGCTATGCTGTAATTATACTATAATAGATTTACAGCCCTTACCAGGACAAATGGATATATAAATGGTCACAGCAAGTCCAGTTAAAGAGGTAATATTAATCGTGATAGACTATCTTTGCTAATATTTTCCTAATTCAGGACTAGGATTTACTATACATCATTTTTAAGATTAAAATATATTTTCATTTTTTTTACTTGGAGAAAAATAATCCCCAAATTCAAGAGCCTACGATGATTTCACAGACTTTTTCAAACAAGAGAAATAAACTACTATTTATGAAAATAAAATTCAGGCACACTCTTTAGGAAGGTGGGGTATTGGGATGAGGATGTGTGTAGCTAGAGAGCTCAAGGACATAACCTATGAAACTTTCATATATAGTACATCTACTGACTTAGAGCCCTGGTGGCAAGGTGGTTAAAGGTCAGCAGTTCTAATCCACCAGTCACTCCTTGGAAACCCTGTGGGGCAGTTCTACTCTGTCCTGTAGGGTCGCTATGAGTTGGAATAGACTCGACAGCAATAGGTTTGGTTTTGGTTTTACTCCTCACTTATTGACTATCACATTATCCGACATTTTGCATTTAGGACAATAGTAAAAAAGAGGTTCCAGCTGCATGGAAGACACTGGCAAAAAACAAGGCTCCAGAAATTGATGGAATACTAATTCAGGTGTTTCAACAGTGGATGCACCACTGGAAGTGCTCATTTATCTATGCCAAGAAATTTGGAAGACAGCTACCTGGCCAACCGATTGGAAGAGATCCATATTTATGCCTATTCCAAAGAAAGGTGATCTAAACGAATGCAAAAATTATAGAACAATATGATTAGTATCACACACAAGTAACACTGGGAAGAATGGGAATTCCAGAACACTTAATTGTGCTCCTGAGGAACCTGTACATAGATCAAGAGGCAGTTGTTTGAACAAAACAAGGGGATACTATGTGGCTGAAAATCAGGAAAGGTGTGTGTCAGAGTTGTATCCTTTCACCGCATTTACTCAATCTGTATGCTGAGCAAATAATCTGAGAAGCTAGACTATATGAAGAAGAACACACAGCATCAGGATTGGGGGAAGACTCATTAACAACCTGCCTTATGCAGATGACACAACCTTGCTTGCTGAAAGTGAAGAGGACTTGAAGCACTTACTGATGAAGACCAAAGACCAAAGCCTTCAGTATGGATTACATCTCAACATAAAGAAAACAAAAATCCCCACAACTGGACCAATAAACGACATCATCATAAACAGAGAAAAGACTGAAATTGTCAAGGATTTCATTCTAGTCAGATCCACAATCAACACCCATGGAAGCAGTAGTCAAGAAATCAAAAGGTGCATTGCATTGGGCAAATTTGTTGCGAGAGACCTCTTTAAAGTGCTGAAAATCAAAGATGTCACCTTGAAGACTAAGGTGTGCCTGACCCAAGCCATGGTGTTCTCAATCACTTCATATGCATGTGAAAGCTGGACAATGAATAAGGAAGACCAAAGAAGAACTGACACTTTTAAATTGTGGTGTTGGTGAAGAATATTGAATATATCATGGACTGCTATAAGAACAAACATATCTGTCTTGGAAGAGGTACAACCAGAATGCTCCTTAGAAGCAAGAATGGTGAGACTATGTCTCACATACTTTGGACATATTATCAGGTGGGGGCAGTCCCTAGAGAAGGACATCATGCTTGGTAAAGCAGAGGGTCAGCAAAAAAGAGGAAGATCCTCACAAAATGGATTGATACAGTGGCTGCAACAATGTGCTCAAGTATAACAACAATTGTGAAGATGGCGCAGGACCGGACAGGGTTTCGTTCTGCTGTACATAGGGTTGCTATGAGTCGGAACTGACTCAAGGGCACCTAAAAACACCACCTTATGTTTAAACATTTATGAGGAAATAAATAATCCATTTAAGAAACTAGTTTTTCAAACACAACTAATTTAAAAAAATACCGCTGAAAGTAAGCTTTAAATGTTGTTAAACGTGTAATAAACCCTTTGCTGTTGAGTCGATTCCAACTTATAACAACCTTACAGGACAGAGCAGAACTGCCCCATAGGGTTTCCAAGGAGCGGCTGGTGGATTCAAACTGCCAACCTTCTGGTTAGCAGCCCAATGCTTAATCACTACGCCACATTAAAAATAACAAAGCTATACAACTATTTTGAAAAATGATATGGCACTTGCTTAGAAAGCTAGAAATAGAAATACCGTATGATCCAGCAATCCCACTCCTGGATATATCCTAGAGAAATAAGAGCCGTCACATGAATAGACGTATGCACACCCATGTTCATTGCAGCATTGTTCACAATAGCAAAAAGATGGAAACAACCTAGATGTCCATCAACGATGAATGGACAAACAAAATATGGTACATACACACAATGGAGTATTACGCAATGCTGAAGAACAATGATGAATCTCTGAAGCATCTCATAACATGGATGAATTTGGAGGGTATTATGCTGAGTGAAATAAGTCAACCACAAAAGGACAAATATTGTACGAGACCACAACTGTAAAAACTCATTAAAAGGTTTACACACAAAAAGAAACAATCTTTGATGGTTACAAGGGAGGGGAGAGGTGGGGACGGAAAAACACTAAATAGACAATAGATAAGCGGTAACTTTGGTGAAGGGTAAGACAGTACACAATACTGGGGAAGCCAGCACAACTTGTCCAAGGCAAGGTCATGGAATCTCCATAGACACATTCAAACTCCCTGAGGGACTGAACTGCTAGACTGAGGGCTGTGGGGACCATGGTCTCAGGGAACATATAGCTCAATTGGCATAATGTAGTTTATAAAGAAAATGGTCTTCACTCTACTTTGGTGAGTAGCATCTGGGGAATTAAAAGCCTGTGAGCAGCCATCTAAGATACTCCACTGGTCTCACCCCTTCGGGAGCAAGGAATAATGAAGAAAACTAAAGATAAAAGTGAAAGCTTAATCCAAAGGACTAATGGACCACATCTACCATGGCCTCCACCAGACTGAGTCCAGTACAACTAGATGGTGCCCAGCTACCACCACTGACTGCTCTGACAGGGATCACAATAGAGGGTCCTGGACAGAGCTGGAGAAAAATGTAGAACAAAATTC